GCGCCACTTCTGGCTTTTTTTCTGCTTATGTGGTGCTGAGGAATCGAACCCAGGGCCTCATGCATGCAAGGCAAGCACTGTACCACTGAGCTACCTTCCCAGCCCCCTCTTCAACTTCTTTAAGCAATGTTTTATAACTTTCACTGCAGAAATCTCTCACCTATAGTTAAATTTATTTCTAGGTAACTTTGGAGCTATGAAATAGCTTTCTTGATTTCTATTTCAAGTAATTAGTTATTGGCATGCAGCAATACAATTCATTTTTGTATGTCTATTTTCTTTTTTACAACTTTGTTAAATTCATTTATTAGTTGTAATAGTTTCTTATAGCATCTTAGGGAACTCCATGTAAAAGTTCATGTTATCTCCAAAGTGACGATTTGACAAGGTCTTTTCCAATTAGAATGTCCTTTCTTTCCTTTTCTTACCTGATTGCTTTTTCCAGAACTTTAGCACTATATTAGTGATGAAAATAGCATTCTTGTCTTATGCTAGATCTTACAGAAATAACTTTAATTTTCCCTAGTTAGCATGTTACCTGTTGCTTCATTGTACATTTGTTATTCAATGTTGAGGTACATTCCCTCTAGGCCTCCTTTGTTCAGGGTTTGTTGTTTTTTATTTTGGGTTTTTGGGGAGGTTTTGGTGCTAATATTGGGCCTTGAACTCAGAGCCTCAAGTTCTCGCTTGGCTTTTTTTGCTCAAGGCTGGTGGTCTACCACTTGAACCACATATCTACTTCTGGCTTTCAGTGGTTAATTAAAGATAAGAGTCTCACAGACTTTCCTGCCCAGGCTGGATTCAAATCATGATCCTCAGATCTCAATGTCCTGATTAGCTAGAATTATAGGCTGAGCTACCAACACCCAACAGTTTGCTAATATTTTGTAGAGGATTTTTGCATCTGAGTTCATGAAGGATATTGGCCTGGAGTTTGCTATCATCATTCTGTCCTTCCCTAGTTTTGATATCCAGATAGGTCTATCCTCAAAAAAAAATATGTTTGGAAGAATTCCTTCCTATTTTATTTTTTACAGTAACTTTAAGGAAATTGATATTAGATCTTTCTTTTAAATGTTTGGTGGTATTCAAAGGGAATCGTGGGTTTCCCTTTGTTCAGGATGTTTTTATTATTTAGTCATTCTTTCAGTTTATCATTACTGGTTCAGCTTTTCTATTCATAATTCAATCTTTTTCTTTTTTCTTTTTCTGGTGGTACTAGGTTTGAACCCAGGGCCTCATACTCACTTGGTTTGCTTGCTTGGCTGGTGTTGTGTCTTTTGAGACACAACTCAAGCCAGCATTTTGCTGATTATTTTAAGGATAGAGACTCACAGATTTTTCTGCCTGGGCTGGCTTGGAACTGCGAACTTCTGCACCTGTTGAGTAACTACGATTACAGGTGTAAGCTACTTGTGCCCTGCTCATGATTCAGTCTTTATAAAGTATGGGTTCTATTTCCAGCACCAAGAAAAAAATCTTGGTCAGGTACAAGTATCTAGGAATTTGTCCATTTTTTTCTAGGTTATCAAATATATTGATACGTAGGGATTCCTAATAATCTCTAATGGTAGTTTATATTTCTGTGGTGTCAGTCTACTTTCTGTGATTCTTGTCTTTTCCTTAGTCTAGCTAAAAGTTGTTCTATCATGTTTATCTTTTTGAAGAACAAGCTCTGCGTTTTACCATTTTTTTGTGTCATGTTCTTGGTCTCCATTTCATTTCTTTCTTATTTGATCTCCTTTTTTCTTCTAATTTTTCATTTCATACTGATTTTCCTACCTCATTGTGATACAAGAGAAAATTTTATGTATTGATTGCTATACCTCTCCCTTTTTGTATTGCTTTTTCTGTTACACAAGGGTCCTGTCCTTCCATTTTTGTTTCAAGAGAAACTTAAATTTTCTTCCTGATTTCTGCCTTCACCTATTGCTACTTCAAGATTAAGTTGTTTACTTTCCATGTACTCAAATCATTTCTGATGTTTTTCTTGTTACTAATTTCTAGCTTTTATTTGACTGTGATCAAGAAGGAAAATAAAAAAAGTATTCTGGGCTGTGTGTGTGTGTGTGCGCGCGCGTGTGCACGCGTGCGCGTGTCATTCCTAGGGCTTGAATTCAGGGTCTGGGTACTATCGCTGAGCTTTTTTTGCTCAAGACTAGTGCTCTACCACTTGAACCACTGCTCCATTTCCAGATTTTTTTGGTAGTTAATTGGAGATAAGAGCCTTACAGATTCTCCTGCCTGTGCTAGCTTTGAACCACGATCCTCGTATCTCAGCCTCCTGAGTAGCTAGAATTACAGGTGTGAACTACTGATACCCAACTTGACACATTTTATAGTCGATATAAGATCTATACTTGAGAATGTTCCACATGCTGCTGGGAAGAATGTATATTCTTCCATCTTTAAGTAAAATACACTGTAGGTGTCTGTTAGGTTCATGTGCTCTAGGATGCAATTTAACTCTGTCATTTCTTTGTTGATTTTCTAGGTGATTCCCCTTTAAAATGAGGTGTTAAAGTCTCCAACTATTGTTTTGAGTAGTTCTCCTTTTGGAGATATATTTGCTCTATATATGTGGATGCTCTTAAAATTGGGTAGATTTATCCGTGTATAATTATTTCCTCTTGCTGAACTGACCCACTTAGTATCCTTATATGATGAGTTTCTTGAGCAAGCTATTTTTTCTGATACAAGTACAGCTACTGCTTTATTTCAGATCCATTTGCATGGAATATATTTGTCAATTCCTTCTTTTTCAGTCTATGCATGCTATTATAGTAAAGTGAGTTTCTTGTAAGTAACCTATAGCTGGATCTTGTTGGGTTTTTTTTTAATTTTTATTTATTTTTTATTGTGAAAATATGTACAGAGGGGTTACAATTACATGGGCAAGATAATGAGTACATTTCTTATCAA